CTAACTAGGACAATAGAGTAAACCTGTTACTGGAGTTAACTAGGACTATAGAGTAAACCTGTTACAGGAGCTAACTAGGACAATAGAGTAAACCTGTTACTGGAGTTAACTAGGACTATAGAGTAAACCTGTTACAGGAGCTAACTAGGACTATAAAGTAAACCTGTTACTGGAGCTAACTATAACTATAGAGGAAACCTGTTACAGGAGCTAACTAGGACTATAAAGTAAACCTGTTACAGGAGCTAACTATAACTATAAAGTAAACCTGTTACTGGAGTTAACTAGGACTATAAAGTAAACCTGTTACTGGAGTTAACTAGGACTATAGAGTAAACCTGTTACTGGAGTTAACTAGGACTATAAAGTAAACCTGTTACAGGAGCTAACTAGGACTATAGAGTAAACCTGTTACTGGAGTTAACTAGAACTATATAGTAAACCTGTTACTGGAGTTAACTAGGACTATAGAGTAAACCTGTTACTGGAGTTAACTAGGACTATAAAGTAAACCTGTTACAGGAGCTAACTAGGACTAAAGAGTAAACCTGTTACTGGAGTTAACTAGGACTATAGAGTAAACCTGTTACTGGAGTTAACTAGAACTATAAAGTAAACCTGTTACAGGAGCTAACTAGGACTGTAGAATAAACCTGTTACAGGAGTTAACTAGGACTATAGAGTAAACCTGTTACAGGAGTTAACTAGGACTATACAGTAAACCTGTTACAGGAGCTAACTAGGACTGTAGAGTAAACCTGTTACAGGAGTTAACTAGGACTGTAGAGTAAACCTGTTACAGGAGTTAACTAGGACTATAGAGTAAACCTGTTACAGGAGCTAACTAGGACTATAGAGTAAACCTGTTACTGGAGTTAACTAGGACTATAAAGTAAACCTGTTACAGGAGCTAACTAGGACTATAGAGTAAACCTGTTACAGGAGCTAACTAGGACTATAAAGTAAACCTGTTATAGGAGCTAACTAGGACTATAGAGTAAACCTGTTACAGGAGTTAACTAGGACTATAAAGTAAACCTGTTACTGGAGTTAACTAGGACAATAGAGTAAACCTGTTACTGGAGTTAACTAGGACTATAGAGTAAACCTGTTACAGGAGCTAACTAGGACAATAGAGTAAACCTGTTACTGGAGTTAACTAGGACTATAGAGTAAACCTGTTACAGGAGCTAACTAGGACTATAAGGTAAACCTGTTACAGGAGTTAACTAGGACTATAGAGTAAACCTGTTACAGGAGCTAACTAGGACTATAAAGTAAACCTGTTACAGGAGCTAACTAGGACTACAGAGTAAACCTGTTACAGGAGTTAACTAGGACTATAGAGTAAACCTGTTACAGGAGCTAACTAGGACTATAAAGTAAACCTGTTACAGGAGTTAACTAGGACTATAAAGTAAACCTGTTACAGGAGTTAACTAGGACTATAGAGTAAACCTGTTACTGGAGTTAACTAGGACTATAGAGTAAACCTGTTACAGGAGTTAACTAGGACTATGGAGTAAATCTGTTACTGGAGTTAATTAAGACTATAGAGTAAACCTGTTACAGGAGTTAACTAGGACTATGGAGTAAACCTGTTACAGGAGTTAACTAGGACTATAAAGTAAACCTGTTACAGGAGCTAACTAGGACTGTAGAGTAAACATGTTACTGGAGTTAACTAGGACTATAGAGTAAACCTGTTACAGGAGTTAACTAGGACTATAGAGTAAACCTGTTACTGGAGTTAACTAGGACTATAAAGTAAACCTATTACAGGAGTTAACTAGGACTATGGAGTAAACCTGTTACAGGAGTTAACTAGGACTATAGAGTAAACCTGTTACAGGAGTTAACTAGGACTAGCACACGATTTAAAGATTTTGTAGAGAATTATATACAATGTGTTCTGTTTCTTTACAACGTGTTGTCTCCGTTGTACTAACTAATCTGTTTCTTCACAAGGTTTTGTCTCCGTTGTACTAACTAATCTGTTTCTTCACAACGTGTTGTCTCCGTTGTACTAACTAATCTGTTTCTTCACAACATGTTGTCTCCGTTGTAATAACTAATCTGTTTCTTCACAACGTGTTGTCTCCGTTGTACTAATTAATCTATTTCTTTACAACGTATTGTCTCCGTTGTACTAACTAATCTGATTCTTCACAACGTGTTGTCTCCGTTGTACTAACTAATATGTTTCTTCCCAATGTGTTGTCTCTGTTGTAATAACTAATATGTTTCTTCACAACGTGTTGTCTCCGTTGTACCAACTACTCTCTTTCTTCCCAATGTGTTGTCTCTGTTGTAATAACTAATATGTTTCTTCACAACGTGTTGTCTCCGTTGTACCAACTACTCTCTTTCTTCACAACGTGTTGTCTCCGTTGTACCAACTACTCTCTTTCTTCACAACGTGTTGTCTCCGTTGTACTAACTAATATGTTTCTTCACAATGTGTTGTCTCTGTTGTAATAACTAATATGTTTCTTCACAATGTGTTGTCTCCGTTGTACTAACTAATATGTTTCTTCACAATGTGTTGTCTCCGTTGTACTAACTAATATGTTTCTTCACAATGTGTTGTCTCCGTTGTACTAACTAATATGTTTCTTCACAACGCGCTGTCTCTGTTGTACTAACTAATCTGTTTCTTCACAACGCGCTGTCTCTGTTGTACTAACTAATCTGTTTCTTCACAATGTGTTGTCTCCGTTGTAATAACTAATCTATTTTTACAACGTGTTGTCTTCGTTGTAATAACTAATCTATTTTTCACAACGTGTTATCTTAACACTAAACATTTAATGTTGTCTTTACCTGACATTTGAAAATGTTCCTCTGGGTAGTTTGAGAAGTTTCTCTAGGTGTTTGGCTAGATGTGAACCTTCCTCCGTTGTCAAGGTGCTGTGTAAAATAATCAACAATAAAAATGGACACCATTAGAAACCCTTTAACTACCACACGTAAATCATGGATCGCACTAAGCGTTGTATAATCGTAAAACTTTAGCTTCGTAGAAACTAAAACGTTGTATCGTTCTAAATCTATATTTATACTGTTCAGTCCACGAAGTTCCCAATTCAACGGTGATAGAGGGAAGGCAGCTAGTTATTACCACGTACTACCAACTCTTGTTGGATAGCCGTTCCTAATTCTCAACCTCGGTGAGGGTTAACGTACTCAGTTGTTATATGTTTGTGACTATCGAGACTCCTAACATAGTGTGTAGATCATCACCACTCGCTTTTACTGTCAACTACAATGGGAACCTCAGCAGTAATCACTGCGATTAATTACATTAATGGGGGTTATTTTTGTTTAGAGTGTCTTGGGATCGCGTGTGTAGCTAACAGATCGATGGATCCAAAGGCAATTTGTTGAATACAGTTTAGAAAATTAAAACAAAACATCGAATCCTAACGGTAATATATTCAAGAAGATCCATGCAGGTAAAGAGCCTTCAAAACAGGACCACTTACCTGTCCATCAGCAAATAGGCAAGGCTTGAATCCACCGCTTCGTACTGACCATCACTGTTATTAATTGCATCTACAATGACAGGCTTGAGCTCTCCAGGTGTTTCGGATGCAGCGGTGGAAAATGTGGATGGCAGCACTTCTGCAAGTGGCTCGTAGTACTTCGTATTTCTGTTTGTTCCATTCTTGCCTGTTTTACTTGCTCTCACAACTAAAACCAAAATCAAAGTTTTTAACTCTGTGG